AATATCCCTGACCACCCTAGTTGAGGAAAGTTTATTTTCATTAAAAACTAAATTCCTGTCACGAAAACTACTACTACTACATTTCTTTGTACATATCTGAATTCTTTACATACGCGTGCACACACGTATATATATATATATATATAAATATAAACACACACACACACACACATTGAACAAATAAATTAGGCATTAATAAGATATCCACGTGTATCTTACAAAGTTATCACTCGTGAACTATTAACAAAGACTTAACGACTGACAAATTTTTTCGAACATGTGTGTGTGTGTGTGTGTGTATGTTCTTCAGCAAGATTTTTCGAAAACAGCTGAACAGATTCGGACGAAAGTTGGTATACATTTTGACTATGACCCAACTTAGAAGTGATTAGTTTTTTGAGGGTCAAGGTAACAGCAAGTTCGAGAATATCCCAAAAAATCCTTATCTGTTAACATGGGGATCGATTTTTCACACTATTTTTGCTCTATAACTCAGTCAAAATGATCAGATATATGGTGAGCGATAGAAACACAAGAAAACCTCACAACTACTAGAGAGAGAAAAACCTCTATATCATGATGACTAGTGAGCAATCGAAACACATCAAAAACAAATATAAAACGCATCTTCTCTACATTCAAGTTCAGGTACTTATTTATCTTAGGAAATCACAAAAATGAACATAAATACTACTTCACGTAAAAAAAATAAATTTAAATGTAATCTTTAAATCGAGAGCAGATTTCAACTTGACCTAACATTTCTAACAGAAATTCCTAACTGAGTTAAGCATTCCTCCATTTTTACTGGTTGATAAGTGTTAAACTATTGATTCATCTTGGTGTCGGAAAATAAAATTGACATTGAATAATGCCTTGCTGTTAACACTCTCTCTCCATGGAATCAAGTAATCAGCTGAAGGATAAGAGATTTGTTAATATATATAGAACATATGTAGAACAGCTGTTTTTGGAAGCTTCTAAAAACGAATGCCGTGAGAAGATAAAGGGGCCTTTTGCTAACAACGAAATCAGCCAGTTCTTTCAAGTTTAGTCGTCTTTAACTGAAAAGTTATAAATCAATGTGTTCAAATTTACTTTGAATGTGTAAATTCGCTATGATACCTAAGTGTTATACACATTGGACATTAGTTTTCATAAGTCTTTTAAAAGGCGGTGATATCAAGTAAAACAGGAACCAACTGAAGTGTTAAATAGTCCACAATACTAGAAGTTTGGAGAGCCGTACTGGCATGAAAATGAATCAAACGTGGATAAGAAAAGAAAGACTGAAACAAAAATGTAAAACAAAGAAACATTTATTTACGGCATAAACAAAACGTGCTATAATCTTACATTATAACAGACAGCTTTTATGGCACCGTTATCATTCTCTGGTAGGTAAAGCTGAGGAAGAACACACCTTAACGGAATAATAGAATGCATGATTGTGTCTATATTACATTTTCATGTCAAACCAAGTTCTGAAAGTACTATCCCATAATCCTACATTATCTATATCAGTGATCTTTCTCATTATATAGATTACCTCCCAGCTCATACTAATTTATAAATACCTCTGCAACACTCCTTCATTGAGTATGATTAAAACCCTAAAAGAAATACGACACAGAAACTTGGCCAAGCGAGTATAGTTTCTTGTAATGACCAGTATGATATGTTACAGTAGCCTACGATCAAGATTAAAGCATATATACAGTTACTTACATCCTGTTCACAAGGGTGTTAGTTAAATACAGAACATCTTGGCCAAGCGAGTATAGTTTCCTGTAATAGCCAGTACGGTATGTTACCGTAGCCTACGGTCAAGATTAAAGCATATATATACAGTTACTTACATCCTGTTCACAAGGGTGTTAGTTAAATACAGAACATCTTGGCCAAGCGAGTATAGTTTCCTGTAATAACCAATACGGTATGTTACCGTAGCCTACGGTCAAGATTAAAGCATATATATACAGTTACTTACATCCTGTTCACAAAGGTGTTAGTTAAATGCAGAACGCCTGAACGAGTTTTGTTAATATTATTGACTATACTTGAATAAAGATTTCCTAGTTAGAGTAAAAATCCAGCAGTTTCAACTGCAACAATAAAATATGCACGCATTTTCAATTATTAACTTAAGATGGTTTTTCTCCAGAGTGTAAGTCTGGAAAGGATATCGAAATTCATGATCATAATTTAGCTTGTCGTCTTAAGTACACATTCTAAAAACTGCACCAAAACTGTGAGAAAAGTTCTGATTCGATACACAATTACTGTCATTCTCTCTGCAAACTAGATAAAGACACCTAAAACCTTTATATAACGTATTCAGTCTCATGATAATTTTACCTTTAAAGCACATTTTTAGAATTTAATCCCTTTTATCCTTTCGATGATCAAAAGATTTTCCATTAGGTCACATCATGTTTTTATTGATATGGGTACATTTTGATCTGGCGTCTTATATTAATTAAAACTAATCACTAGGGTATTTTTAGATATATTACTTAACAAAGGCACACATAAATCACGTTAGTCATATAATATAACTGTTAAATAACTACCAAAAACACGAATTAATAAATACACTTAGTATTCCGAAAATTGTTTAATCTCGAAGTCTAATTTCAAGGAAGGTCCATTTCAATCTACTCTTTGATCAACGTGTGTTATTGGGTTATAGTAGTTTGATGTTTAAAAACACGAATTGTAAATCGATAGCAAGTCTTTGTTTAGCTTTGCTTTAATTATTTATTTATATTTCTTGTATATTCAAAACGTCATACGCATTTCTAACCTTTAACATTAGTTATCAAAACAGCTATAATTATTTTGCTCTTTTTTGGGGAGGGGGAGTAGAATAACTAAAATGAACTACTAAAAGTTTGTTTTAAGACGTTGTGTTTTTGAGTAGGTTACACCTTATACATTGAGGTGGTTATTACAATACCGTAGCTACTTCCATAATGAAAGATTAAAACGGGCGTGAACTAAAATTATATAGAAAATACCTGTGAAATATGTAGCTATATTACTAACTTAATCTTTCTTAGGTTTTAAAGAACAAGCTCCTATCGGGCTACACTTATTACTCTTAAAATACAGTCGGCTAAGAGTATCATATATCTAATATAACTGTTGTAAAAATGTAATAAGTTTCACCAACCTGTCTTCTTCGACGTGCTAGTCGTTTGGAAGCTGAGTCACAGTTCAACAGTGAACTCATGAAGTGTGCAACGTACTTCAACATTTTGACTTGCACATTTTAGCAGCTTTGAGCTTACTTCACTGTTATCAGACCGCTTACTTCACTGTTATCAGACCCTTATGTAACACTCCTTATTTTAGTACCTGTGTATGCTAAATTATCAGTTCGGTTCCATCACTGTTTTCGCACAGTTCCGTTAACACACATTAACGTTGTATAGGTACTTTCATCGGTTCGGTGATATTCTATGTATTTCTGTCTGGTTATTCATCCTTTCCTGTGGTGCGAGATATTTTTACAAACGTTTTCATGGTAAGCGACAAAGTACATAATCAAACGCGATTTGGTCATATTCTGGATTCCTAAATTACGAGTCATGTTACGCAGTTATCATACACTTGTTACATTATCTTACAATTAAAAAGCGTCAGCCAAAAATAAATATTTTCAAAAAGCAAAACTAAATACCGTCGCTTTTATTCATCTGGCATATTTCACTTTTGTAGAAAATGCAAATTTATGTGGCATAAACGAAAATAAACATACATTCAGCTTTTTTTATCTGCTGAGCTAATACAATTTTTTTTTAATTCTCCAAAGAACGGTTTCTTCTTAGTAGTATTCGAACGAACTACAATATTGCTTCTTTTCTAAATCGGTCTGACTATAGAACTCATGTACATTTTGCATTGTTTTATTGATAAAGCATGTTCAACGTGTAGGTCTACAGAATAAGTAAGACCTAGGGTTGCTACACAATAAATAATTTTTTCTGTGCATTCGTTCAGTAGTTCAAACAGGCATTTGAACCATCGGAACAAAAGCCTCAGAATTTGGCATTTCAAAAATCGTCCTTGATGCGTGCAGTCTGCAGTAGAACACACATAGGCAATTACGCTTTACCTTAGGACACAGAGTTTCTAGGGCAATGTACAAGATACATCCGTATAACCTTTGTGCTAGCAGCTATCGCAAGCAAATAAGAACAGTGAAATACATTCTTTCTATTAAATGGCATTTGAGATAAAACAGATAGACGGTAAATGTTTCTAGCAAACACAAAATCAGTGCTAGACCAATTACAATATTTTCTTAAAATATCTTACACGCTGACGTACAGAGCTGTTAGAATTCTGATAATGATGAGCTGCTTATTTTTTACGTATTCTAAAAATTGCTACCAGGTGCTAAAAATCACCAATAAGTCAAAGAAATGTATATATATATACTGCATGTAGTAGATGCAAGATCCCCGAAAGGGTTCTGTTTCAAGAGTAAATAAAACCAAAATTAACAATAACAAATATTTTTATTTCTTGCTTTTGAGGTTCGTATGCCATGCTGTGTTGTAGACTACAGAATGCATAATTCTTCTCGTGATTCGTGGTATGCGCACGTTTTACTGACAGTACAAATTGCAACATTTGAGCGCTCCCCTTGTGTGACGTCATTTTAGTGTCTACTGACAGACAGACAGACAACACACTACTGCGAGTGGTTAAAACAGGTAATTTTTAACAGTCGTGTAAATTATTTTTTAATTCAATAATTTTGAGATATGAATGTGACAAATTCTATACATGTATGGGGTTCTTAACGGGCCATTTTCAGTGGAATAAAAATTTCCTTCAAATAATTGATAATTAAACCGTGAATTAGAAATAACTGAATTTTTTTTCCCTCCACCGTCTACTCCTTCTATATTTAGAGCTACATCTACGTTTTAAGAATATTAAAAAAGTAAAAAGGCATAAGATACATATGTAGTTGGAAATCATGAGTATCTAAATGTCTAATAAATGTAATGAAAAATAATTGTTACTAACAGAAATAACCGCCCTCATGGCAGGTATAACTTCTATTTCATGCGGAAGGTTTTGTGCCTGCGGCCTTTTCTGGAATTGTCTGACAGTTCTACAACAGTGTGCTCATACTTGACATTCAGTAATGTTCACCATCCATGAGAAAAATGATTTTATTGAAATTTTAGTTTAAAGATGAGCTATCGTCACAGCATTACATCACAGAGTAGATTTTATTGAAGTATTTCTTTGTAGACGCAGTTATCAATGAAAGTGCTTTGCTTTTCTGTTGCAACACTCATGAGATTTTTACTAAAGAAAACAAATAATTTTTTTAAAGTTTTTTATTGTTTTATATTTGAAACTTACTCCTTTTTGTAATTTTTATTGGTTAAATCTGAAACATATCATTTTTGTGGAAATTTTAATTGTTATATTTATTGCTCAGCTATAAAAATACCCCCCAGTCAGTGTCGTAACAAGGACGCACACATTCAGGGCGCAATGACAAACTCAAAGGGCGCGAATATATTGTAATCATTTTCAGTTTTCGTTATAATTTTTTTTATCATTTATTGATGTTCCTTATTAATTCATAAGCGAATTCACTCATGAAAAAAAGCTTTGATATCCGACAACAAGAGCTTAAGTT